CATTTCTTCAATACTGCCTATGAAAACAGATAAAAAGTACTCGGAAAAGATATCAAATACAAATGAACTCTTAAGAAACCTCTGTAACGAAAACAGCATGACCTTTATTGACCATACAAATTCCTTTCTGAAAAATCAGCAGACAAATCAATCTCTTTATTCAAATGAAGTTCACCTAAATAGTCATGGCGCTGCAGTATTTGCAAAACTATTAAAAGCCACAATAAGAAAAATACTCAACATCAACCAAAGGAACACCCAAGGAAATTTTCGTCAAGCCAGCCACTCATACAGAACACCCACGGTACCAACACTACAAGAGACCAAACATCCCCTGGGGCTTTCAACACTTCCATCACCCACCTGGGGCATGGAACTTACCACCATGGATGTACAGATACCCACCCCTTCAAAGATAGAAAACAATCAGAGTGTCTTCTTACTAGAACAGCAAACAAATATGCACACAGTCCTTCCAGACAATAAAGAATCTTCAAATACCAATTATTTTAATATTGATAGTGTTAATTTTGAAAACAAATACAAAAATAATGATAAAACAGATAATAACACTATAGACCAAACCAGCCCTTCTAGCTTTAAAGAACCCAACTTTTTATCCAAACAAGGAATGAAATTTCTCCATCTTAATATACATTATCTGTATCCTAAAACTGGATGAATTAAAAATGTTGTTGCATACTCATTCTTATCTAGACATTATTGGACTTTGTGAAACATTTTTAAATGACAGCTCTCAGATAATGAATTCCAGTTTTAAAGGATATCAAATGTTCGAATGACAGGAAACAAATGGGGGTGGACTTATATTATTGTTAATGAAAATTTTTTCTTGTTTTCCGCGGAGTGATTTACAAAAAGAGAACATTAAAAGCCATCTGGCTTGAAATCAGGAACAATCAACAAAAAACGTTTATATTAGGATATATTTACAGACCCCCATCATCACCTGCAAACTGAACTTGGATTTAGAACAAATATTAGATAAATATATATTGAAAACAAGGAAATTATTTAACTGGAGATTCAACTATAATTATGATCCACTAACACTATCTACTAACAACACTTGTTGGAATAATATTACTAACAGTTTTTCAACTTAAAGCAGGTTGTTGAAGAAACCCACCAGAGTAAACTAAAACATCAAAGACCATAATAGATCACCTATATACAAATTTCCCTCATAATATTTCTGAAATTTACTATCCCTCAGTTGTCAATAAGTGATCATTTCCAATTTGTTTCACACGCAAAATTTCAAATACAATTATAAAAAAGTCTTTACATCAGATAATACAGTACCGAAATGTTAAAAAAATTGATGAAAAGATTTCTTGAATCTCTGGAACAACAACCTTGGTCATGGATAGAAATATTTGAAGATCAAAATGATGCCTTGGATTGTTTTTTCAACTCTTTATTTAGTCAGGTATTAAATGAACATGCCCCTCTAAAACGAAAACGTGTAAAACACACACATCTTCCAGACTGGTACAATCATGACATGATATTCTTCATGCCTTCTAAACAAAGAGATAAAGCTAAAAAATAAATAATAATGAAGATTATAAGTATTGGGAGAAACAAAGTTAAAAACCTGATTTCTAGTTCTAAAGAAAAGTTACTACTCAGAAACAATAAATAACAATAAAAACAATGCTAAAGAAATGTGGAAAATCTCAAACAATTATCAGGGAAATTCTTCTAATCACCAGACAAGTTATATTCAAGATGAAGAATGGAAATAAAATTACAGACCACTAAAAACACTGAAGTATTCAAATAAACTATTTCATTAATTTTTAAATCTGCTCCGCAAATTGTTCAAATTATTACAAAAGAGAAATATAAAACTATGAGTTTATTGAAATGCATTTCAAAAACGATTCTCCATTTACAATACCAGAAAATATTTTTGAAAATTCTAATCAAAAGAATTCCCATTAATCCTTGATTTCAAAAAAATCAACTGTGTCAGATGTATAGGACCTAAATTTCTTAAAAGATTCTAAAAAATTATTTCCAACAACCTTAGAAAAAATTTAATCTCATTAATAAATGAAATTTTCCTCCAAATTTAAAAAAGCAAAAGTTACACCTATACATAAGAAGGGCAACAAGAAGAAGTAACAAATTACAGACCAAAATTTCCAATACACCATCCTGTCAAAAAAATTCTCGAAAACATTTAGTGATCACCTAAATCATTTCTTGAAGCTAACCTCTTTTTCAAACCAAATCAATCTGGCCCTTTGCACAAATATTCATGGAAACTGCCTAACTTCAAATTTTGAACGGGTTAAAAACAAAAAGAAGAGAAACTTAAGGACAAAATTTTTGCCTCAAAACATTTTTCTTAATCAACAGAATTTTATTAAAAAAAATAAAAAATTTTTAAAATGATAAAAATTTAATTTTTTGGTTTTAGATATATTTAGTAACGTTTACAACAATAGTGTGTCAGGAAAAAATCTAATCTCAAGATGTTTAATCGGTGCCCCCAAGGCTCATTTTTTAAAGGGCCCTTTTTCTTTTTATTTTTTCATAAATGACAGCCTTTTCACTTTTCAATTTCCCTTTTAAAAATGTTTCTGGGATGACACTTCCCTTACGTATTTGGGCAAACATCAACAATCTGTTAAATTTTAGCTGACCTTGACTCTATCAAAAAATGGGGTACCAGAAATTCAATGATTCCAAATGCCAAAAAACCAAAGCAATGATTATTTCCCCTTCACATAATATCCACAATATCATTAATAATTCTAGTGATTTCAACATCACTCTGCAAGTGAAAGCATTCAATTCTCAGAAACAGAAAAATTTTAGGGTCCATGTTGATCATACACTTAATTGGAAAACACATGTCAAGATGACGCTGAATAAATGCAATTCCTTACTATATTACTTCTGAGAATTAAACCATTTCTAAAATCTTCAAGTTAGGAAAATGTTCTTTAATGCATACATTCTCCTCATTTAGACTATTGTCTGCACTATTTGGGGTAATTGCAGTAAGGAACTCTTAAACGACATGTATAAATTTCAAAAACGTGCAGCAAGAATAATACTTGATTAAAGATTTTTTGATGCGCCTACTGATGAGTTATTATTTTCTGAATTGAAACTGGATGAAAATTCTCTGATAGAGTGAATTATAAAAAGGCCATTTTAGTACAAGTCCCTAAACAATCTTCTCCCTGATTATATGCAAAATCTTTTTACAAATACAGAAAATAAATCATTAAGATCATATGAACAAAAACTTCTTTTAGTCCCCAAACCAAGAATTGAATTCTGCAGAAAATCCCTATCATATTCAGGCTCAAAATTTTGGAACTCCCTCCCTTTAAACATAAGAAATTCTTCCAACTTACAAACATTCAAAACAAATTATCTTAAATGGTGGTTCTCTTGGTGGGCACCAAATAATCTAGCTATGTTTTAATATCACATATATACATGTAGCTCATAAAATGTACAATTTCATACTTTCAAAATGTTTGTATTCATTTTTCTTATTGCATTTTTTCAATTACTCATCTTTTCTTTGTTGTATAACTTGTATACATTAAGTTTTCTTTCTTTGTTTATATAAATCTTTGTTTGTAACTGTATATATGTACATTTTTGATAGAGGCTCATAGGGAAGACTGGGCTTGCCTAACTATGTTGCCTCTTTAAATAAAGTCTTTATTATTATTATTAGTAGTAGTAGTAGTAGTAGTAGTAGTAGTAGTACGTAGTAGTGTTAGTATATAGTAGTAGTAGTAGTAGTAGTAGTAGTAGTAGTAGTAGTAGTAGTAGTAGTAGTAGTAGTAGTAGTACTAGTAGTAGTAGTAGTATTATAGAAATAATACCTTTATTTTGAGAAGTGATATATTAAGGTATTAGGACCCTAATTGGGCACTATCAGGAACTAAAAATGACATCATAAGTCAGATGTATACCTTAAAGTACACCTGTATGCAAAATTTAAACAAAGTTTACCGTACGGAAATCAAGTTATGGCCACTTTTCTGAAACTTCAAGCTAGGATGTTATGAGGGCCTTTTTTTAGAAAGTAGGAACCTTTAAATAATTTGCAATAACATTCTATATGAAAAATGTTTTCCCATTAATTTTGGTAAGAAACAAAAAGTACCATTCAGCTAACAATCCAAATAAGCAAAATTATGGTTTCTACTTAAAATTTATGAAATCTGTATAAAAAATGTTACCCTACCCCACCCATTTTTACCACGTGTCTGGCCATTTTTCTTACTTAGGGAGCCTAATTTAAAAGATTCTTTTAAATTTTACCCAAATGAGTGCCTGTTTTCAAAGTTTCCCTAAATTTTTAAAAAAAGTATATTGGTTGATCTTGTAAAATATGAAATACTTTTACCGTCTAGTTTTGATTATATTACACTTTGAAAATATCAGGTACCATATTTATTACTAGATTTAGCATAATTTAGCCAATAAATACCTATATAAATTAAAAAATCAAAATTAAACACTTTTTTCTTTCCAAATGGGACATGAGAGATACATAAATAATGTTAAAAGAAAAAAAGAAAGAAAAAAAAAGTTGGCCCTTCTGGGGATTGAACCCATGGCCCTCATTTTCAATGTAGTTAACAGTAGTTCTAGCCTATTTGAATACTCTTCAAAGCGGAGGTAATGCATTAGGGTGCTAATACCTTAAGAGTGCATAATAAACATACAACTTATTGCCAATATGACCTTGTATACATCTGGGACATAAGATGTTGTGTCCCAGTATACATATATAAACAGAAAATAGAAATAACAATAAACAGCAATATTCAATTCAAATGATATATACATTTTTGATGTAAATCTGGAACTTAAAATTGTTTGATTGACATACTTTATGCCATTTTTATGCCCATTTTGAAAAATCTCTGGTGCCTTTTATGAAAAAAATGTTTCAATAAACGATAATAATCCTTTAAGGGGAGATCACTGTAAAGTTGACCGAAAAGTTGCGATTGACAAACAAGGAAAGTAACTTTTTGTTATTTTTCAGTGTATATATATTGATATCTAAGATAACGAGGTAAATATATATTTGATCTTTTAGTTTGATAACTGTCCACAACATCAACCGAATTCGTTTTCAATTTAGTACTTACTTAGTTACTACTTTCGCTTTTGTCTTGATATACATGTATATTACATTTTTGCTTTATACATGAGTAATGTAAATTATTATTTTGTCTTCAAATGTACTATTTGTGGATTATATTCAGTATTAAATGTGATAAACGTTTCATTTGTATACACACATTTAATCTTTCTCTTTTTTTTTTAATAATTTCTATATACATATTTCAGTATACCGTCATGACTGGATGAGATATATGCTATAGAATTAAACTAAAATGGAATGTGCACGTTATCGTATTACATGTATGCTTAATTTATGCCGACATGTGACACAGATCAGCGTAAAAAAATACATGTTAAAATGGAAACATTTTTATGATAATTTTTAAAAAATGACTTTAAGTTACGTAGGGAAAGTTTAATATTTGTTTTTGTTTTGATTTTTGTATGTTTTTGTCATATGTATAAAAAAAAATGCGCTCCGCACAATTTATTTATGATATAACATTAATTTTTGAATGTAAGGTATGCGCATATTAAAGTATAATTATATGTTAAATTTATGCCTACATGTGATAAAATAAATACTGCATATTCATAATATTGTACATGTTAAGTGCTAGGGGCGTGGACGGTAACTTGCACTTTCCATTACCGTCCATGAACAGGCTCAATGAAACCGAGGCCTGCAACTTTTCAATTTATCGTGTTGGGCTTTTCTTTAGGGATTCTGTATGTTCTCTATTGCCTTATTTTCAATTTGTTCATATTAAAACCTTATATCAAGTTGATTAATGTTCATATTGTTATTTAATTAACATCTTGTTCGCTCTTCAAAGTGATATCTATGTTCAATTACGAAGTCGCACTAAATAACAATTCTTTCTCCTCATGCTTTAATATATTGACGCTCAAAATCTTTTTTTGAAAATAAACTTTACTGAACAAACTCTCGAGTAAAGAGAGAAAATATTACATAATAGATTTATACTATTTGTACGACAGGTTATTTATACCAAGTTAATGTTATGTCATCAAAATATTTTTAATAGCCTATTCATGATATTTTTTATTATCCCCATCGCATTCAAATTTGTGAGTGAATGTATTAAATTCTGCCGCAGATTAGGAATTGATGATCTTACAACCTGTAATAAACTTATTCAGGCTCCAAAATTCCTGTAGGTGTATTTCAATACTCTACTCAATCCGCTCCTCTTTTAAATTGGAAAAACATTTAAAGTTCATCATAACATATTTCTTCCCCTTTGATTTCTATGCAATGCAGATGGTGCAAAACACATTATCTTTAACATTGGTGGTTTCTCTGGATGCGGCACCAAATATCTAAGCTATGTTAATATCACATTTATAGCTCAATAGTCTAATTTTGTGGATAAGATAACATCATTTAAAATGTGTTATCTAACATATTATCAGTACTTTCAATGTGTTCATGGTAATATTTTCTCATTTTTCAATCGTAGTTAATATTTGAATTCTCTATATATGTGTATATTCTAGAATTACTGTTAGCTTGATTTGTTCTTTTACAATGTTTATGCAATTTGTTTGTTTAATTATATTATCAGTATAGCGTAATACTAGTATGTAAGTGCATATCTTTCTTTCGTTGTGGTTTGCTGAATTTAAGATATATTGCGTAAAGGTTGCGTGTAAATTGGTGTATTCAATATTGTATAATCTTTCTTTTGAATATGCTTTATTTATTTTGTTATACCATTCTCTATTAGGATAGAGCTGTCTTCTATCAGAAGCGTACAGTATCTTTTTTTCTGAGGAATATTCATATTATGCACTGATAACTCACCTAGCTTTTGACTCGTCTTCTTTATAATTACACAATGTCGATTATGAATAATTTTAATTGAGTCTATTAAAAGTTTAGTATGTTAAGTAGATAGATAAAGTTGACTTAGTTCAGGTTCGCTGTAGCTTCCGATTATTGATATTGTTTTGTTAAAATATAGACATAATAAATAGAAGATCCAATGATGTTTAGTATGTACGTATTTCTCAGCTATAGTTATGTATTAGCTACTAGTTGATGTAGTTTGTTAATGTAGATGCAAAGACTTTATGAGCTTTAGTTACAGTTTTTCATGCTTTTTTGATGTTTTTGTACTTTGAGTTCCACGGTTATCGGTATCTTTTCGCTAATTTGAGTATTAAGTACGTTACTGGCGAAGTGTACTATACATCTTAATTTATTTTCGTTGGAATGGTTTGGGTATACTATTATCTTCATGGATCAGACCTCTGGACTCTTAAGACTAATGGAATTTATTGGGCAATGACGCATCGGTCAGGGATAACATAATGATCAGATAGATGAAATAGAATTGAATAATATGAGATCGAGCATCGTTTCGTTCAATTTTAGCGGTTTTTCAGACTCAGATCTATTAGAATGGGCGTGTTATGATACACCTGTATTCAATATGTACTTGTGATTATTCTCTTTAAAGTTTAACTCTCTCTCTTTTCTGTCTCCGGAGGTAATTAATCACACTTTATGCTCTGGATCTTTCCTATTTTCCTCGTAAGAAATCATAATCTGGAGCTTTCCATTGTACACGGGGTGTGGCTCGTTTATAGGGAGGGCCCTTTATTACATACTAGCAGAAAAACGCTTCGGGTATTTTAACCAAATTTTCGAAATATTCAAATTGAATTCTCTCCAATGTGCTCTCTTTTTTAATACAGTACTCTATCTCTAATGGGAACATATGTTTACTTTCCGCGTTTTATATATATTCAAATAACATACTGTTTGTGAGCTGCTTGTTATATATGCAAAAATCATAACATAAAGTCAGTTTATCTGAGGTATGAACCTTCATTCACCAAGAACTTAACAGATGCAACCTAGATGAAGCACCACAAGGATCAAATTTCTTTACTGGTCTTTCTCTTACTTGAATCCTACAACAATGACATTTCAATTTGATAGAAGATTCTTGTGTTTCTATAAATGTAAACTGGTATTCTACTCCGTCCCACTCACTCGCCAAATTTATTTTACCAGATCGTGCTCAGAGTGTGCCATTATTATAAAAACACATAATAATGTAGTCGACACAAATTCATTAATTTGGCTGATTTTTCTCATTTGTGAAAATCTTATTTCTTTGACGTTTCTCTGAAATTAGACCTGGCTGGATGCTTACTTTATTCTATTGGATATTACTCAACTCGCTCTTTTTCCTCCTACTATAATCTTTTCTCTTAAAAGATCTCAGTATAGGAGATAAGTGGAGCAGATCTTGTCGTTAAAAGTGATGATCAAGGCATGAATGTCTTTACTCGTACCGTCTAGTTTTGATTATATACACTTTTGAACAGGTACCATATTTTATTACTAGATAGCATAATTTAGAAATAATATTATTATATGATAAAAATCTATAAATTTATCATATAGTACCCATTTATATCTTCTTCTGTACCAAAATGGTGAGATTGGATCTAGAAGATATCATCATACACCTAATGGGTTTAAAAGAGAAAAAAATGAAAATATGATCGGAGTTATCTAGAAAGTTTGACTTTGTTGTACAGCCCTTATCGCATGGGAATTTAGATACTCTTTGGATTGGGCCGCTCTATCTCTATCGTGACCTCTCCTTCATACAAAGCTTAACACTACACAGGTTTAGTGATTTTGAGGACACTAATCTTAGAGTTCAGTGGTTGATTCTACAAGGCCAATTCAAGTAATATCATTATAACTGGTTGATTTCTAATAAACGAACTACTTGACGATATTCATCACAGCGCTCGGACTTAAGCAGAGGTACAAATAAGACTGAAAGCACCTTTGAGAGTGTCAGATCACATTCTCATCTATTTACCTCTCTCAATGCAAAACGAAGGATCGCCAACCTTCAACTATTTCAAGCATACAACTTAAAGTTCACTTAAATCTTATTGCTCCTCTTCAGTTTGATACATTTGGGAAAATACACTAACAGTCGGTTTATTGCTTCCAGTTCTCATAATTATTTTATATACTCATATATAACATGAGAGTAAGTTAACTCTATGTTATTGAACTCATAAAACCAAGTCCGTATAAATCATGTACTTCTCGCTCTAATAGTTTTTTTCAAATGTTATACTTATTTAAGACAATATCTTTTGGAGATGTGAGCGTTAATTTCATGCGCGATATCTACTGTTGACTTATCTGACAAATGTGTTATTGATGAACTATTATTCAGCTTCTATACTCGTCAGAGTAGGTATAACTTTAGCTCATAGTGTTGTATATACAAACATAGGGCTGACTGGAGTAAGCATCTTTATGTGGAAAACATAATGTGATCAATTATAAAAATATGCGCATAAATATAATCCATTGTATATTCGGGTGTCATACTGTATAAAGGATTTGGATCCGAAACATCTTGATGGTATGCGATTCGTGCCAAAACAAGGGGCTAAAAACGATAATAAAACTAAATTTCTTGTTACCTTATTTCGTGGTGGTAACTATACAAGTTTGATTATATAGTCATAATCTCTAAAGCTACTCCACGAAAGTATAGACGATAGACGTAGGTACATTACAGAAATGCTGAAACGCTGACAATTACCTATTTGTTAGAGTATTTCTGATACTAGACTCGCTCAAATTTACATGGAATCTACATTCGTTTCCAAATAAATTTCCAGGATATTTACGGATTAATTGCTAAAGTTAGTATTTACGTTAGTTACATTACTTTCACGCTTTCGCTCCATTTAGAATATACCTATGCTGCATATATTATACATCTTTTTGTCCAATAATTCATCTATGGATCACTAGATCTATTTGCGTTAGAGTACTTGTCTATGGTTTGTCTTTTTAAGATCAATTCTTCATATAAAAACCATCAAATGGCTATTGTCTCAACTAATTTCGTTGAAGTACTTCGTATCTCCGCAGTATTATAGCGTGACTCGCGCTCTCTAGTTAACACAATAATAAATAGTGACATCTTTTTAGAAGATGAACGTGTTTAAATGCTGATTTTCTTTTTAACAATTCATTTTCGTGATCAAACCATTTAAACGGAAAATCCCTACAACATTTTTCTCACTGATTGAGACGTAAAGATGCTTTTTCATTCGTCCATTGTGAGTAATTTGGTGAATATCATAGTTTTTGAATACGGTCAATTCGATCCAGACAGTTAGAATTCAAATTAGATAATGTGACTGCAACGTTATTTCTGATGGATACATCATAGGATAGTCAGGTGTCTGACTCTCCCGATGGCCTTGACAATAGCTGAGATTTCACATAGATCAGAGAAGGTCTGTCTTACAAATAATAACAGTAGTTTTCAAAAATTGATAACTATCTCTTTTTTTATTGTACAGATTCATAATATCTTTTGTCTTTCTTATACTTCTAGAATATCCAATTTGCAAACGTTGAGGGAAGAAGAGTTAGGACCAAGTGTTCCATCTCAATTCACATGTTTTTTCTCTGAACGCGGGTTTGGCATTTGTAATACTGTACACTTAGAGGAAAAAAATTACCGTCCTGATTGCATCTCTGGGTTTTCACCATGATAACATATTATATCAGGGTGAGTGAAAAACAAGTGTGTCGAACTTTTGATTAGGCGGGAGAATCATAGTTATTATAGGTATGAATATTTATAACATCTTTTATTATACGAAATATAGCCCTATTTAAATAGATCCGCTTATTCAGTAAATGGATTTGTGCCCCACTCGTTGTAATGCTGTCAACGGCTCCGTACATCAGCTTATCTTCTTGTATTATTTCTTTACTGAAGGCAGCTCTGGAAAAGAGGCTCCGAGCAGTATTTTGCGACATTCAGCAAAATGCTTTTGATAGGGTTTTGGCTATAGCCTCTTTAATTAAATTGAGGAAGATTTCGTGTATTAAAGGAAATCTTATAGTTGGTTCTCCTCTTATCTGTCGAACAGAAAACAAAGGGTCGTGTGTCCAGGTGCTCATCAAGGTGTTGGAATTTATCAGAGCAGGTGTATCTCAAGGGGTCCATCTTGGGTCCCTTATTTCTTCATTTTTATCAATGATATTGTTGCCGACATTAAAGCTAATATACGCCTGATTCGCTGATGATACCAGTCTTTATATTACAGTAAAAGGTCAAGTTAAGTGCAACCGAAACTTGAACGCTGACTTACAATATCAGATGGCCACAAAGTGGCTAGTGAAATTCAACACTAAGAAAACAGTATCTCTAATCATGTCTCGTAAACCAAACCCCACACCATTCTCGCGTATTTATGAACAATGTTGAAATTCGGAGATATTTAGCCACAAACATTTAGGTTCTTATTTTTAGCAATAATTTGAAATAGAATACTCATATTTGATTTATGTACTTGGAAAGGCTTATCACCGTATAAATATAATGCGGAAGCTTAAGGTTACTCTTGACCGACAATCGATACAAATTATATACATTTCATTTATTCGGCCAATATTAGAATATGGTGATAATTGTACACTCGAGCAAAAAAATGCACTTGAAAATGTCCAGTATGAGGCTGCCCGTATTGTTACAGTTGCAACTAAACTAGTCTCTTTGCAAAAGTTTCTAGATGAAGTTGGTTAGGACACTTCAGAATCCAGACGTCAGAAACATAAGCTACTCCTTTTCTACAAGATGAAGTCTAACCTAACGCCATCTTATCTTTCAGATTTATGTCCGCCATTAGTTGATAACGAAAATTATCTCCTCTGTAACCGTGAAGATCTTAGAACACCAAGAGCTAGAGCATCGCTGTACTATAACTTATTTCTCCCTACAACAAGAGCTTTTAATGAACTTCCTTTATCTCTTAGAAATGCACCAACAGTTTCAACTTTTAAGAAAGAATTGTTTAAACAAACAAAAACTGTACCGCAATACTTTTACTTTGGAAAACGTAAAAATCAAAGTATTCAGACCCGTATTCGTACAAATTGTAGCTTACTTGCAGATGAATGACCTATTTTCCAAGAAATATCACCCAGTCACCTCTTTGTATCTGTGGATTAGGCGAAACAGCCTCTTACTTCTTCTTGCATTGTAGATCAGACCGTCCTTGATAAATGTTATCAATACTTATTGTATTGTTTCACTTAAATCATTATTTCAGGAAACACATCTTTATGAGCTGGAGAGAATGAATGTATATTCAATGCTGTTCACACTTATATTGAAAAGTCTAAACGTTTTGACTGATCTGAAAAGGTCCACCATCTTTATGAATGTGTCATTCTGCAGTCCGCCCAATTCTATAGCTTCACACTTCTTTATATCTTTAAATTTTCTCATATTTTCTTCTTTAATCGGATTTCTTTCCTAATTTAAACTTCTTAACACTTCTGCATGTTTTTCCTTCGATTTTTTTGTTTGTTTTGTTCTAATTTTGTTTTATTTTCCTATAATAATATTAACATATTTTATCTTGGATGGTTGTACCATTCTATCAAATCATCTGTGTCGCCAAAATCTGTACCGATGTCTAGCTAGAAGTGGAGAGAATTACAATAAGCTTTGAGCTTCCAGTTCAATTCACTTTATCATGATTTTGTATAAATTTTGTGTTTGATGTGTAATATTGTAACTTAATGAAAAAAATAAATATATTTCAACCAAATATTTTTTCTCTCGTGTATTGGAATAGAAAATGACCAGTCAACATTTAACATTATCAAATAAAGAGTGTTTGTAAAAGCTATAAGCACAGGGGTGAAATATAAGGTATAGACCATAACAATTCTTTTTCCGTGTAGGTTGCAACTGGTCTCCTATGTAAGTTAAAGGGATATAATAAAGTATTTCCTGATAAACATATGTGAACCGAGGAGTTTAGGCTGCCATATCGTCTGTACACGTTACCGTGATTCCCCACCGTGTATCAGAGAAATAAAAAAATGTCTTTATTGTTTTAATATTTGATATTTGAACCTATCAGAGATGTTTGTCATCAATTAACACGGGTATACATGTATAAGAGTAGGCTTGTTTTTTATCTGTTTCAGATACCTAAAATGGACTTGAGGTACCCTATTAATAAATATGGGAAGATTCTCGTTTGGATTTGCTCTCAGACGAGTCCACTTGGTTTTAATGATCTTTCAGCGGAAGAGAAAAAGGGAAGTAAGATACTGATGACAGAAGAAGCCACTGGTTGCAAACGAGACATTGATTTGAAACAAATCAGAAATTTTTTCGACAAGGAAGGGAACTTTGATACACAAATTGAAGTTAAACAGCAAATAAGAGCATCATTTGAAGAGTTCAAATCTGAGTTGAAAAAACTAGACAAAGAACAGCCAAAACCCAAACGTGAGCTGGAAAACCTAGGCGAAGAAGCGCCGCTTGAGTACCAATGTTTTGTTTTTGTCTTTTTGACATACAGTAAGCCTCAACATGTAGGGGAATACAGTGAAGAGTTGCTGCATTTCGACCACAGATCTATGGCAGAAGGGCTTGTCCCACAGGCAAAAATCATCGATGAAGTGAAAAATCTAGATGTAACAAAAGGGAAGCCAAAAATCTTTCTTATCCAAGCGGATGATTTAAGTCTTCTTAAAGATAAGGTGACATATTTAGCCATACCGGATTATGAGACACCAAAAGTCATTAAAATACCAACAGATGCTGATCAGCTCATCATAAAATCCACTATTCCTCAGAGAATTGCCAACAAACATGATGCTGCTACACCATCGTTTTTGATTCAAGCATTTTTGGAAGCAATGAAAAATAAAAAAGAAAAGGAAGATCTTTTCACGTTGACGACAACTATTAACAGACACGTTGCACGCCGTATTACTGAATCTAAAGACAAGAGGGCAGCTGATATGCATGTTCCTTTGGTTACATCTACACTCACAAAATTATTGTTTCTATAAGCTAATACTGCCCCTGAAGATATTAGACGGCAAGTTTACAAAGCTGGCTGACTAAATTCAAGCAAACATTTGTTTTGAAATACCGTTGTTCGGGAGCGAATCAACTTGTTAGCTTCTTTGAGTTTATCAGAACAATTCACATGAAGAAATTCATGAATAATTGACATCAACTAAGTACCATAACTCTGTGGGGTAAAAAGATAACTTTATTTCTTTCACAGATGAATTAAACAATAGTTTACTCCATCATCTGTCCATTTTGTCTCTTCAAACCTCCTTATTGTTTTTTTTTATCCGTACATATACATTTGTCATTTTTGCATTAATTATTTCCGTAAAAATTCTCACTATTTTTCACAATGTTTCCTAGGGGTTATTTTGTTATCAGAAATATACATGTACAGGTTATATATAATAGGCTTATTCAATATTAAACGTTTCATCAATATATAAACTAGAGATGTAATAAATTTTAAACAGAAACAATTTTTCAGTAAATTTGTAATAAATTTTAAACAGAACTTTTTCAGTACAGTTTTATAACTTATAACAAGCAAATCACTTGATTTGAGCTTCTTTGTAATGTATGTTAGGATTTAACTGGGATTGAAGCATGTTTGTGCACAAATTAACAAACTCTTAGATTTCTGTTAGATCAGAATTAATCATTACTTAAATTTCAACTCTGATTTATTAGGTAACACTGATTATGAGATATAATAATTAATAAAAGAGTGTTCGATTCGAGAAAGGGTTAATAAGCTTATAGTTTCCTTAAAATAAAATAAATTCTGTCAACTAAACTAATTAATAAAAAATGGGTCAAAGACAGAAAAGGCCGGGTTGTATTTGTATACCAAATATCATGATGCTGTGATGTTACGAAAGAAATTTATCACTGATCATTAATGTCGAAAATTTAACTTAGTCAGCAACAGACCTGAAACCGATTCCCACATTATGGGACCACGTGTCAATGCTGTATGCAAAATATCAAAAGGCTGTGATAAGTAATTGCTGAGAAAACAGTTTACTGTTATGAAAATTTCCTATCAAGGACCATAAATGTCGAAATTTAACTAAGTCAGTAAACAGGAAGTGGATAAGCAACAGATCTGAAATCGGATCCCACGGTATTGGACCACATGTAAATGCTGCATGCCAAATATCAAGAGGCTGTGATCAGAAGTTGCTGAGAAAACTGTTACGAAAATTTCCTACCATTGTCCATGTAGTTGCTGAGAAAACTGTTATGAAAATTTCCTACCATAGACCATAATGTCGAAAATTTAACTAACAGGAAGTGGACGAGTGACAGACCTGAAACCGAATCCCACAATATGGGACCATGTGTCAATGCTGTATGCCAAATATCAAGAGAATGTAATAAGTAGTTGCTGAGAAAATTGTTAAGAAAATTTCCTACCATTGACCATTTATGTCGGAAATTTAACTAAGTTGATAAAAAGAAAGTGGATGAGCGACTGACCTGAAATCGAATCCCACGGTATAGGACTACGTGTCAATGATGTATGTCAAATATCAAGAGGCTGTGATTAGTAGTTGCTGAGAAAATTGTTACGAAAATGTTCTACCATTGCCCATTAATGTCGAAAATTTAACTAAATCGATAAACAGTAAGTGGATAAGCGACAAACCTGAAATCGAATCACACGATATAGGACCATGTGTCAATGCGCATGCCAAATATCAAAAGGTTGTGATAAGTAGTTGCTGAGAAAACTGTTACGAAAATTTTCTACCATTGTCCATGTACTTGCTGCGAAAACTGTTATGAAAATTTCCTACCATTGACCATATTAATGTCGAAAATTTAACTAAGTCGATAAACAGGAAGTGGATGAGTGACAGACCTGAAACCGAATCCCACAATATGGGACCATGTGTCAATGCGTATACCAAATATCAAGAGGCTGTGATAAGTAGTTGCTGAGAAAACTGGTACGAAATTTCCTACCGTTGACCATTAATGTCGAAAATTTAACTAAGTCGATATACAGGAAGTGGATGAGTGACAGACCTGAAACCGAATCCCACAGTATGGGCCACGTGTCACTGCTGAATACCAAATATAAAGAGGCTGTGATAAGTAGTTGCTGAGAAAACTGTTACGAAAAGTTTTTCTACGCCCTGCCACCGCCGCCCGCCGCCCGACATTCACCATACTATAACCCGGGTTCGCACCAGTGCAACCCGGCCAAAAATATACATGAATCTGTGTTGGTATTTTATACATATGCCCTCACTCCTTAATTTGTCAGTAATCAAATTGCCTTAAAAGCTTTTTTCATTCAGTCAGTCAGTGGAGCAAAAAAATGTTAACTTTTCTGTAATTGAGTTAAGTCTTAATACAAAATTGCACGAGCTGAAATGTGTATTGTGGTTATACGTTGGCAACGACTACATCATAATAGGAATTTCAAATGTCATACATGTAACGGAAGCAAATTAAGTGACAAATGCAAGCTCAGAAAATCTAAATTGCCATTGATAAGCTTAAAATAATACCAAAGGGAAGCAATTTAAAGCACTGTGGCGCCGAACTATAATAATAATAATAATAATAATAATAATAATATCTTTATTGAAAGAAGGTATAGCACATGAAGATATTCCATCGTCCATCCGTCCGTCAGTCCTTCCGTCCGTTCTCTTTTGTGTCGCACGTAACTCAAAAAGTATTTGACCTAGAGTCATGAAACTTGACAGGAATGTTGACCAGTATGTGCAGTTGTGCACCTGGGTATTTTTGTGTGGATTTATTCAGTATTTTTAGAGTTATTGCCCTTGACTTAGTAAAAATTTGCAATTTTCAACTTGTGTCGCATGTAACTCAAAAAGGATTTAATCTAGAGTCATAAAACTTTACAGGAATGTTGATCAGCATGTGTTGTTTTGCACTTGGGTATTTTCGTCTGGATTTATTTAGTATTTTTAGAGTTATTGCCCTTGCCTTAGAAATGTTTTGCAATTTTCAACTTGTGTCGCTTGTTACTCAAAAAGGATTTCATTAAACCTTACGGGAAGGTTGCTCAGCATATGTAATTGTGCACCTGGGGTTTCGCTTGAGGATTTATCCAGTATTTGTAGAGTTATTGCCCTTGACTTAGTAAAAATTTGCAATTTTCAACTTGTGTCGCACGTAACTCAAAAAATATTTGACCTAGAGTCATAAAATTTTACAGGAATGTTGATCAGCATGTGTAGTTGTGCACCTGGTTATTTTCGTCTGGATTTATATAGTGTTTTAGAGCTATTGCCCTTGACTTAGTAAAAATTTGCAATTTTCAACTTGTGTCGCATGTAACTCAAAAAGGATTTGACCTAGAGTCATAAAACTTTACAGGAATGATGATCAGCATGTGTAGTTGTGCACTTGGGTATTTTCGTCTGGATTTATTTAGTATTTTTAGAGTTTTTGCCCTTGACTTAGAAATTTTTTGCAATTTTCAACTTGTGTCGCATGTAACTCAAAAAGGATTTCATTAACCCGTATACGGGAAGGTTGCTCAGCATATGTAGTTGTGCACCTGGGGTTTCTCTTGAGGATTTATCCAGTATTTGTAGAGTTATTTCCCTTGACTTAGTAAAAACTGTTTCATTATGTTGTGTTATTTGTTCCTTAAGTGCTTGAGTTAGAATCAACCAACTTTACAGGAATAATGATCAAATCACTAAAGTACAGGAATTATGATCAACATCACTGTGAAGCTATGCACCTGGGACTTTGCATGTGGATTTTCAGTTTTGTTAGAGTTATTGCCCTTGACTTACAGTAGTATAAATTTGCAATTTTCAACTTGTTCATGCAACACTCAAAAAGTATTTGACTTGTAGGCCTGAAAGATTACAAGAATGTTGGTCAGCATGTGTACTTATGCACCTTGGGGTTTGCTTGTGGATTTATCCAGTATTTGTAAAATTCTTGCCCCTTACTTAGTAAAAGATTTTTTGTTTTCAACTTGTGGCACATGTAGTCCAAAAATTATTTGACCTAGAGTCATAAGATTGACAGAACAGTGGCGTGTGGGGGCACCCGTGTCCTATGAACACATTTCTAGTAAAATATAGATTTACTAAAATATCAATAACACAATAAACCGTCCCAGTATCTGATGTTTTCTTCATCGACCAGGAAAAAATCCCACCGTACTCCGTACATATATTGTTTCCCAACCGTTTTAATTAGAACATGAAATGACGTTTAAAAATTTTCTTTCCAGACAATTTTATATCTATTGCACTTTTTTTTCAGCCGAAGGCCGTCTGATTTCACCTTGACTTCCGCTAAAATTAACAGTAAAGAAATGAAAATAGGCAGAATTTTCATTGGTCATTTTAACACTAATAGCCTGTTTGATTGATACTTTAGGAGAGCTTCCGTTATAGATAGAGGTCTTTTCGATCGCGCGATGGCAAGAAGTGTTGGAAAAAGATATGTCAGCATAAATATAAAACACAATAATGATATTTTCAGCTTTTCAATTAAATATGACAGATCGCCTTTTTGATACTTTTGCGTTCGATTGGGTTTCTCTTAGATGTAAGTTGTTCTGGTCATTATATTCCCTTCTCGAACCGGGCATTATACGATTGAAACGAACTTTCGACTAATTTACAGTTGCAAAATTCTTCGTGGAATTAGTGTACTGTATCTACTTAATCTTTGTTTTATTATAAATTCCTATTCAAATCAAATTCCAATTTGATTAAAATGAAATAATGTGAGTAATTTATTGTTTTAATCTAAGATGACAATAAATGGGGAATAACACTGCGGGTAAAAATGAACTGTAATAAAACTATTGAGGACGAATAAAATGTTCTGTTTGCGGTTAGCATGGTAAGTAGTAGCTTATCCTGTGCAAGTTAACAAGTTTGACTTCGGCCGAGTATCTTTTTAAGATACTTCTTGTTTCTTTTGCAATCACATTCAGATTTCGTTAAACAGGTTACGCTATTCAAATGTGTCTATAATATTATATGTAACTATAGCAATCGCCTTTAAGTAAAAATATCTATTAACATTTCCACCTGATCTCTTGTTACGGTTATGTTATTTGAAACTGTATAATAATAATTTTAATGAACATCATGCAAATTTTAAGAATTTTCCCATACTCATGCGCGGATCCAAATGTAGGAGGGGGGGTGGGCTCATGAACATCTCCAATCCCAGACTTGGCTTGCATGTCGAGCCCGTCTGAAATTTGATATCCATACATTTGTATTATATCACTCTACTAAACAAGTAAATCCCCTAACCCATGTGAGCAACTTTGCCGGCCCTTTCCGTCAGTCTTCAAACACAATAGTAAGAATACACAGAACGGATACGGTAACTTAACATGTAACTAAATAGTTATTTAATGCAGGTAGTTGTTGACAAGTTTTTTCCCAATACATCAAGTGAAAGACCACCTAAAATAAGTAAAGCCATAGATATAAAAGTAAACAATACAATATTTATACACTTTTACTATTGTTGTAGAAATGTCAACCCGTTGACATAAAGTCAGACCGTTGACATTAAGTCACAGGTGTTCGGCGTGTTGATTGGTCACTACCCCCACCCTCCTTTTACCCACGCTACAACCCTCCTCCCTTTTCACAACAATGTAAACTGTAGTATTTTCTTTTGGAATATGTTTTAATGTTTGATATATACTTTAAATGCGATTTCCTTCATTCTCCACAAAAATAAAAAGAAAATAAAGAAAAGATAGATTA